CCACCATTATTATTTGTACCTTTCCTCCCACAACTCTCAACTGAAGCCGGTTCTTCTTCCTTTCCCTCCCATTAACTTTCCTCCCAACAACAACAACAACAACCCCCGCATCCACCACAAATCACCATCATGTCTTCCGGCAAAACTTTCACTCTCAGCAACGGCGTCAAGATCCCCGCCGTGGGTTTCGGTACCTTCGCCAGCGAGGGATCCAAGGGTGAGACCTACGACGCCGTCACTGCCGCTCTCAACATCGGCTACCGTCACCTCGACTGCGCCTGGTTCTACCTGAACGAGGACGAGGTTGGCCAGGCGGTCAAGGACTTCCTCAAGAAGAACCCCTCCGTCAAGCGCGAGGACATCTTCATCTGCACCAAGGTCTGGAACCACCTGCACCGCCCCGAGGATGTCGAGTGGTCGGTCAACAACTCCCTGGAGAAGCTCCAGCTCGACTACATCGACCTGTTCCTGGTTCACTGGCCCATTGCCGCCGAGAAGGAGACTCAGGAGAAGCCCAAGATCGGCCCTGATGGAAAGGTAAGCCCCCCATCCCTTGACCCCTGGCAGCCAGCAACCAGCATCCCAGCTAACCAACCCTTCCAGTACGTCATCCTCAAGGACCTGACTGAGAACCCCGAGCCCACCTGGCGGGCGATGGAGAAGATCTACAAGGAGGGTAAGGTCAAGGCGATCGGAGTTTCCAACTGGACCATCGAGGGCTTGGAGAAGCTGCTCAAGTACGCCGAGGTCAAGCCTCACGTCAACCAGATCGAGATCCACCCCTTCCTGCCCAACGAGGAGCTGGTCCAGTACTGCTTCGACCACGACATCCTGCCCGAGGCCTACTCGCCCCTGGGCTCGCAGAACCAGGTGCCCACGACGGGCGAGCGCGTCAGCGAGAACAAGACCCTGAACGAGATCGCCCAGAAGGGCAACAACACGTTGGCGCAGGTGCTGATCGCCTGGGGTATCCGCCGCGGCTACGTCGTCCTGCCCAAGAGCTCCAACCCCGCCCGCATCGAGTCCAACTTCAAGAGCATCGAGCTGTCGGACGAGGACTTCGAGGCGGTCAACGCGGTCGCCAAGGGCCGTCACTTCCGCTTCGTCAACATGAAGGATACCTTCGGCTACGACGTGTGGCCCGAGGAGACGGCCAAGAACCTGTCTGCTTAAGCGTTTTCCTGGAACGGGAAGAAGAAAACCCCAAGCGTTAATGATTTATGCGGGACATAAAAAAATGACGGAATGAGATAATCTTCTTATCAGCTAGACGATACAGAATTATGACCCTTCAACATTTTTGGACCAAAATTTAACCATTGCAAACCGTACAGCGTAAACGATTGTCTCCGTAATCAACCCAGCAAGACAACGCAACAGCCCCCAAAAATCATCAAACCTTGCAAGGTTGTAACGAATTAGTCCAAGACAGCTAAGTTAGTTAACTAATCCCTGCCCCCGAAGAGAACCTACGAAAACTAAATCCTCCATCCGCCAATAACCTTGAACACGAGTTGCAACCTAAAGTCCACACAGAGCACGGACGTACGGAGTACAGGAACAGTAATGCAATGCGACATCCGACACACGCTAACCAAACCAAAAAGCTCGAGCTCGGAGGACAGTCCTCCATGCAGAAGGGGGGGGGGGAACCTAACCTCTGCGGGATGACGTCGGTTTCTGTCAATCACCGACCACTCTAACAGAAAAAAAAAAAGGTTGCGAACTTGTGTAACAAACAGTAACTTGGTACCTTACCAGGATTTGATTATTACTCGTACAACTACGGAGTAGTAACTAGTAAGGCTGTGAAGAAAATCTTTCTTGGGTGATGCTTGGTGGTTTAAAGCCTTTGTGTACTCCGTACAGTCAAAAGTAGCAAATGCAACAGCACCCGCTCCAGCAAGCAACAGCAACAGCAACGTCAACGTCAACACCCGATCGAGGGGGGGTAAAAGAGTGTGAGCCCCTCACTAAACCCAAGCCAGCCTAGCACACCAGCCCTCCCAGAACCGGACAGGTAGTAAGGTGGTTTACCGGAAAAACCCGGGCAAACAACTGAACTCCCGGCCCGGTGGACAAATCCGGCAAAGCCCTAACCACTCCACTAACCACTGCACCAACCACCGAGCCTCTGCTTTCAGCTTAGCACTGCCTGTGCCTGCTGGCTGGCACTGCAACTGCAAAAGTGGATCCCCCGCCGCCCTGCGCCAGGTGCGGCTGCCCTAACCCTATCAATTTTCCCTGGGGGGGATTTGGTGCAGTGGCTTTGGTGGCTTGCAGTTCGGCATTCCAATTAGACCTAAACCAGGGGAACAACCCATAAAAGGGGGGGGCCAGGGAAATTAATGACGTGGAAGATGTACATTGATTGGAATGAATGGTTTCTGGCAAGGTGGGTGTTTGGATTAGAATTTGTAGAGTGAGGCAGGCAGGCATTTGTGAGGCATTAATGCTACAAATTTCCAGAACATCCAGTCAACAAAGTGGGGAGGGAGGAGGTTGCTTTGCTTTTGATTCGTCGGGGGGGGGGTTGATGATTATCTATCTATCGGGGAATTTCAGGTACACCATTTAATGCTTTTTGTTGAATGTTTATTACACTTTTGATCGATTGTCTGCGTGTTTGCTTGCTACAACCGTCAAACCCACCAGAAGTCGGGGTATGGCGAAGTATGCCTGCAAATGGTCCAGTTTCGTCATCTTTCCGAATATTTGAACTAGAGCCATAGATAGTCCATTTTCCATCGACCGATGATGGAGACCCGAAAACACGGTCAACATGGGCGGTGTTGGTCCGAATCCAACAGTCTCCATACATGAGTATCTCCATCCAACGAGCCAAAGGACCAGAAACCGACCAACCGGGTTCTCCGAGTTCCGACACAATATTTCAATCTCAACAACAACCATCCAGCAGTGAGTTCGTTCCCACATTGTAGGCAACCGGTTCTTTCTCTCTACTGGCCACCAAGTCCTAGTCTACCAATCACGACAGAATCAATCTCCCGTACCCTCGATGATAATCCCCAAAGATCAAACTAGTACTGCACCCAAGTTCCAACTGAACCCATCCGACTACTTGCAACACCCATTCCGTGTACATTACAGAGATGGTTCCAAGCGAGGGGAGCGGGCGGGGTGAAAGAGGGAAATGAAAACTGGAGATCCATTTTTTTTCGTTGCGCGATTATTATAATCTTGCTGAAGCCTCAAGATGTATTTTTTTTTTGCTCGGCAGTTGCGGTAAATTCTTTTTATCGGCGTTGGTTGTTTCTCTGCTATCGTTTACTCGTACCGTTGCTATGCTTAATGTCTATGTCACACTTTCTGGGTATAGTCATTATGGTTGTTGATGCCAAACCCCATCCCAGGTAGTATATACTTCCTTACCTGGCAAATCGACCCTACCGGGTCACAGTATTCCCCTCCCATTTACCAACCTGGGGAATTGTAGCGATTCCTCTCTCTCCAGGTGTTCTTGCAAATCTCAAGCAGAGAGCTGCATGCACGTAGCCTTACAATCCAGCCCCCTTGCTTCGTGGCTTGACCGGGGGGGGGGTTCTTGACAAACCGCATCAGGACCGTTGAAAACAAAACAAAAGTCGACATCTCATTAAAGTTAAGGTGTGCTGTAAGTTAGTCTGTAGCCTGTAGATCGCTAGTTAGCTTTCGCGGAGGTTCTGACTCATGCTGGACACGCAAATGAGGACCAAGGCAATTCTACATTCATACTGTACATGTGCATGCACTGTGTGTCTGGAAAGGGTTGCAGTAGCCGTGCAGGGGATTGTATCATCGTGCAGGGTGTGTCGCGTGTGGGTGTTCTTCTTTCTGATATCGGTCTGAGAGGGCTCTGTTGGGTTGAGGGTGAGTGGAGGATTCCTCTGTTTACTCTGCGGCTCATGCCAGTTGAGTATACTCTGAAATCGTTTGTCCCGTCTCGTACGGACTCGATGAGATACATACTATCATTCTTCTTTATCAGTAAGCGTGTCTCCATGGGAAAAGAACGCCAGAACATCCTGACTGCCCTGCTTTGACCTGTAGAGGCAGTTCCTTGTCCAGCTTGCTGGGTGCGCGCTACTTTTATCCCTTCGTCCCTTCTTCCCCTACTTTCTTCGTTCAGTGAAAGGAAAATAGGAGTGTTACCTGTGCTCAGCTCAGAGAAATGGATGGTTTGCTCCTAGCAGGTCTCCCATAAGAACTACTACCACCCACACACAAAACAGAGGACGACGAGCCTTGGCCATAGTAATCTCGCCAGTCTAGCTCCTGGAGATCAATTCATCCTTGTGGCACTTCGTAGTACAGATTGATAGATACATGTACCGGTTTTGACTCCTAAGCTACACTAAAGACCGTTCAACGAGATAGCAATACAGACAGGCAGACAATCATGAAGAGCAATACTATCTTCAAATCTTGGTATGAACGAGAGGCAACTCACGCCTTCTGTCTCAATAGCCTTATAATTATGCTATTGGGGCTAGGTAAATAATAAATTATAGGAAGGTCAAGTCCATCAACAAGATTGCAAGTCTTGTATACCAGTTTGAGCGTAGATTGCGCACGGTTCTCCTATTTAGTCCTTAGTGAAAGTTAGGAAGGAAACCTAGCGGATGATAGATTTTACCACTTTTGGAAATATAAATTTGAATCCCTTGGTAAATGATTCTTGATAACTATCTAGTGTTGATGCTCATCTGTCATCAGTACAGTAAGTGCTTGCTATGCCGACGGGAATTTATATACAACGGGAATCCCAAAGAGGCACCTTGAAGGGCAAGACCCAAGGTTTGTGAATGCTAAAAATCAGATACCCTCTCTTCTACGAAGCTCCGCATCTTATCAATCAAGAGGCAGGTATTTCATATTTGAGAAATGCACGCTGCATAATAGCTTGCATCCTTAGCGAAGGTCACACGACCAAGTTACTGTACCTGGGATGAAAAACATACTTATGCCTAAGGCATCAGACCATTTACCGAGGCATAGTTACACCGATGGCTTTAGGTAGGAATACATCCGCACAGTATAGACGATACAAACTCAACACAGGCACTCAAACCGAAGATATTAGCAGTATGTAATATTCGAGTACCCGAATAAGCGAGATAACAGCCCAAACGCCTATCCTATGCATCCAGTAAGAAAACCCACGCCATCCATGCTAGTATGTAGAAATAATCGAACAATCACACACGACCTCCTCCCCCAACCACGACCTCACGAACGTGAGCGAATCCGTCTGGCAACCGGCGTCGATCCCGCATTGACCTTAAGCAGACTCGTCTTCGTGCTACTGCTGCGGAGTGATGTCTTGCTGCTGCTGCTTGTCATGCTGGCGGTGGCACTGCTCCCCTTGGACGGGGTCTCGATCGTCTTCCTGGGGGATTTGGGGATCAACTTCTTGCGTTGACCGAGGGGACTATCATTGCCGGAAGATGCAGACGACGAGGTAGGAGAAGAGGTGGGAGCAGCAACAGCCGTGGTTTCGGGCCCGGACGCTCCGCGCACGCGCCGCGCCCGCGGCGTTGCAGTAGCGGGTGCAGTAGTCGCTGCGTCGGGGACCGTCTCACCACCAGTCTTCTGCCCCGTCTGCGACCGAGTCGTGCGGCCACTGGCTGCCTTTCTTTTCACATCGGAGGGTTTGTCCGTGCTGCGCTGATGCGTTACCCCACGGCCCACACCAGCGACGTCATTTTTGTGACCGGTCGCATTGGCGTCTTCACCTTCGAACTCCACGAGTCGGTTGTTGTTCCAAGACACATGCTTCTTGGCCTTTGCACTTTCTCGAGCCACCGGAGCAGGGCTGGCTTTGTCGTCACCGATCGGAGTGGTGTAGCTTTTGTGAATTTGAAGAACATGCAGTGTTTGCTTCGGCATGGTGGAGCTGCCCTTGTTGAACCGCGTGTTGCGTTTCGTGGCCAGAGCGAGCTCTTGGGCCTCGGTCCGCTGGAGAAACACAAACTCGTTGCCCTTGGCACGGCGGAGAGCGAAGGTGCTGCGCACTGCAGCCGCCACGGTAGAGGGGCGTACTGGCGGGGCACGCGGGCGTGTGCTACGACGCGGGCTTTCGGCCTCTTGGTTCTCGTTCTCGAGCGACTTGGTCGGAGATACTTGCTGTGGTTTTTGCGGCGAGGGCGAGTTGGCGTCGAGGTCCTCCAGCGCGCGCCGCGACGGCGGGGTTGGCATCTCAACCGGTGACGTTTCCTGCATCATCTTGGCTTCATCCTCCTTTTCGACCAGCGGGGCCTTATTTGCGGCCATCTCTGCGGCCTCAGTAGCTTCGGCCTCAGCAACAGCTTTGGTTAAGCAGCCGGTCTCAGCGGCAGCAGCAGCAGCCTTGGCGTCACGCTTCGCCTGGGCCTTAGAGAGGAAGTTGCTCAGTAGTTCGGCGTCTTCTCCGCCCAACGAGCTGCGCAAAGCCGACCGCACAATAGTCGATTCCTGCTCGACGGTGATGTCAGGAACGACAGCAGGGGTCTTCGGATTCGAATCCAGCTTCGTCGCGCTCAGCAGAACCTCCTTGATCGTAGCAGCGGCATCACCGTCATCATCACTGTCCTCCTCCGCAGTATTTGTAGTAGGCGAATCAGTATGTGACCCTCCGACAACCGGACTAAACACAGTATATGGCGAAGCATGACTGATCTCGTGTCCTTTTATGCTTGTCATGTCCCCGTCCAAACCAGGGGACAAACCGTCCGAATCGCCAGGTAGCGTGCGGGGGTAGGGCGCACCGGGCACCAATTTCGTAGGGGTCTCCGGGAGGTCAGCCGTCGCTAATTCGTCCGGCTCGCTGATAACAAGGTTCTCGTGCATCGACGTGGACGCGTCTCGCTCGTCGCCGGTACCCTCGATATTGTCATGTGGCTGAAGAAGACTGTCCGTCGCCATCGGTTCATCGGGAAGGTCCACAAACTCGCTGTAAATAAGTGGCAGCTTGCCTAATCATCGTTAGTTCTTACGTGAAAGATGACGTCTTCCACTCGCCAAGAGGGCAAAGTATATATAGCCCCCAAGCCCAAGGAAGAACCAAAAAAGAAGGTAACTCACGTCGCCGCCCTTTTGAATCAGACTCCCACTGTGTTTCCAAGAATGACCTTCCTCGTGAGTTTCCGCTGGCAAGGTCATCCGGGTCCAGCGCGAAGCATCTCCGCTTGACTCCGCGGACGAGACCCGGATTCCTCGTGCTGTTGATCTCGAGCTGTAGCTCCTCATCAATCGCGTGCCGCTCGCCCGCGGTGATCTGCTGCAGCGCTTTCATGCTGTTGAACGAGGAGCGAAAGCGCTTCCAGACTTTGCGCGACCGGCCGCGTGCGCGAAACGACGTGGATGGCTTGCGGTCCCAAGCGTGCGGAGCTGATCGGGTGAGGGTTTTCGTTGGGGTGAATCCGAACTTGGTGTTCTGAGGAAGGTTCAGATGTGGGGGGCTATTCAAGGTCGCATGTTAGACATCTGGAGGCGATGGGGTTCAACACAAGTCATGATGAGGTCCAAGGTAGAAGAAAGGAGGAGATGCAAGAAAGGGGCCAGGCCGGAGTGAGTGAGCCAAGTGCTGGCCTGTCTTGGATGGATATTGCAACTCTCATTGAAAGGGGCTGCTGATTTGACATGAAGAAGATAAGAGTGCTCCACGTACCATAACGGCTGGAATGTGACGGACGGACAGACAAAGTCCTCCATCGTGATGGTCGGGACCGAGTTGGAATGTGCGGCGTGTTTTGACGTCAAGGCGCGGGTAGAAGGAGCGATACGCCGATGGATAACGGGGTAGAAGATATACCACTATGATGTCGATTAAAATGAGGCGTCCAAGACGCGTCTGTTGTCGGGATGCGATAGCAATAAATAAATGGCGCGATAGTTTCAGAGCAGAGTTCCAGAGCAGAGCTGGGCTGGCGATGGAAATGGATAAGTTATTGGTTGGAGCGGGCACCTCGCCCTGCCACCGGGCTGTTTTGGCGGTGATCGCGTTGCTGGGCCAACCACCACTCCAGCTCATTCACTGCCTGCACCCATAAAGCACTTCAACCTACGGAGTAGACTCTACAAACGCCGAGGTACGTTGTTCCTAGCCTAGCCCAGCAAATGCTATTCTATGATCGGCTAAATGCAAATCAAGCTCGTAAACGTGTAATCATCGCGGTTCCCATCAAAAATCCCGCCCCGGCTCAGAACAAGAAGATCACCCAACACCCAGAACTCCAGTCTCCACGCTGTTCATTGGCTTCAATGCAAGATGATTTCGCAAATATACCATCTCCCCCACCTAAGCTCCTTCCTCCATATCTCTCTCATCGAACGGATCCCCGAATTCCTCTGCAAACGCTATGCATCAGTACCACGTTCGAAACCGCCGACCCCATGGATCCCGTAGACATGCCGGTCAGATGTATAGACAACGTACCCAAGCTGAAGTCTTGATCGATGACGAATTCCATCGCTCGTTGATATTCCTCCTCCGCCCGCTTGTTCATCCACGACGCCACCGGGGCGGACTGCTGGGCGCCCTGGGGGAGAAGACCCTGGGCTGCCAACGGCGAGGCGATCGGTCCCCCGGGACCGTGAGACTTTCCGGAACCCTCGAAGGCGCTGCTCTGAGTCTGCGAGCCGGGCGGGGACAGTTCGGAGCCGTCGAAATGAGGAATGTGGGTTGGGAGCTTGTTGGTCGGGGTGCGGGTGCCGGGGTTGGAGTCATCGGAGGCCATCGGGGAGGACTCGGGAGAAGAGGCCATCTGCGAATCGCCGTCTCGGTCTGCAGAGACAGTCAGCATGCAGCAGCGGAGGTTTGCTGGGTCGAATCTGGGGATGCTCGAGGGGGGAAAGCGGGGCCAAGCCAGCAGCCGCTGGATATGGGAACTGACCGAGGTTCATGGTGAGGGCTGTGGTGTGGCTGGCGGGCAGTTCGAATCGTAGCCTGCTGTACGCTCGGTAGAGATTCGAGAGAGCAAGGGAGTTTGTAGAAAGAACGCGAGTGGAGAGTGGTTGTCGGAGGTCGTCTTCGTAGTATGAGTAGTAATGGAGGACGATAGGTGCGGGCTCCGGGGACGGTGGGAGGATCTTAGTTAAGCAACCCTTCCTTTTCCACCTCAGCATTGCTGTTCTCCTCTCTCCTCTTCAAGTCTGCTCCTCTTTCCCCTCTTTCTAAACCAACACTACACAGTCCCCCTCTGCTTCTCAATTATATATTCGTACGTCACTGAACAAACAGTAAACCTCGTGTTAATCCATTTCAAACCCCCGAATTTCTATCTCCACCGCATCACTCCCGCAAATCATTGTTGCAAATCGCTTTCGATCCGCCCTCCACCGAACAACCATATACTGCCATGAGCGCAAAGTCCTCAACAGGCCCCGATGCATGGGCGGAAAATTGGGAAGAACAGGCTGATGTACGTCTAGATCTTATATTTGAATCTCTACTCCCCACATTGCTGTCCCCATTGCAAGGACCCTCTCCTTTACTTTCACACCGCTGACATTTCAAAAAAATTTCCCCAGAAACTCGTGGCCGACACCCCACCCCCGCCGGCGGAGAAGAAAGTCTCCTCCAAGGTGACCAAAGCGCAGCGCAGAGCCCAACAGGCTGAGTTCAACCGCCAATTATGGGCGGAAGCGTAAGCCCTTCTCATTTCCGAAAAAATCATAATGTTATTGTCCTGACACGCTCTCTGTTTGTTCCGCGATGTGCAGTGAATCCCCCCAGACTTTCCATTTTCTTGAAGCGCGCTCCGATGTGCCCCTTCGGCAAGAATTCAAACCCGCAGTCACAGTACTCAGTCGGAACCCACAGATCGCGACGCGTGGTTCAGGGTTGAACGGAACCACGGCGGGAATGTCCCGTCTGGGCCTAAATGATGACGACTCGGAGGATGACGGCAGGGCTGCTCTGCCCTCTGCCGAGGAACGCCAAGCGATGGCGTTGCGCAACTTGGAGGACAGGCAGCGCAAATACGAAGAGGTGCGAGAGCGCTTGTTCGGCAGTCCCTCCGCCCCCACGTCGGGGGCGTCGTCCCCGCGCAGTGCTACGCCTCCGAAACCGTACGAGGGACGCGGTAAAGGTAGGGGTCGCGGTAATGGACGGGACAACAGCTCCAACAGCAGCAAACGCGACTCCTCCACGGCGTCCGGGAAATCCGGGCAGTTGTATGACCCGGACTCTCCTCGAACGAATACCGGCTACAATTCTCGGAGAGAGAAGCAACCCGCAGGCCGAACCAACACCGATGGCACCCAGTCACCCCGTCAGCCAATCCGCAGCCCCCGGGGACCCGATAGCAGTGGTCGAGGTGGTTTCCGAGGTGGCTTCCGAGGCGGTCGAGGTGGTTAAAGTACGTGCACTATCTACGATACAACAATAATTCCCTCCGCCCGAATAGGGCAATACATATCCAAATTGCCAGCGCCGCGACGCCAGGTCCCAGGCACAAAGATATTTATTCGCTCGATTAGACTTCGAAGAGATCCACCGCATACTACGGGAGCCCTCGCCCAGAATTTATCGCGTTGGCCAGCTGCGATGTGTTGGGCCGGTTTTCTAGAGGTGTCAGCGCCTCATCAGCCTGAACGGGATACGAATACTTACCCGCGTACCGCTCATAGCTATCCAGATAAAGCCCATCATCGCTCGTGGTCCCCGCAACGTGAGGGTCGTTCTCGATCGCGTCTACCCACGCACCCCATCTGCTACCAGCTTCCGGGTCTGGCCAGCCGCGATACGGCTTCAGCACCCGTCGGAGCCGGATGATCCAAGGCGCAACCTGTACGTCGACAAAGGAAAGTTTGTCGCCCAGAAAGAACGGCCCTTCGGTATGAGCCGCGCCAACCAGAGTGTTGAACGAGTCACGGAGTTCTTCTGCATGCGATATCTGTTTCTCCTGATCCTGTTCTTGGAGAACGCGGTAGAACGTGGGCACAATGTGGCGATTTACCTGTCTTGGTTAGGTGGCATGTTCTCATTTTGGACTTTGGCACATACATAATCAGCCCACAGTCGACAATGCCCTCGCAATTTTGGGTTCTCTGGAGGCAGGAGCGGAGGGCCGGCGTTCAAGTCTTCCAACTAGAGGCGTGTCAGAAAGGACCGGCGAGGTCTGAAGCCGATCACTTACGTATTCGAGCAACACGGTGCTCTCATGCGAACTCCAGTCCCCGTGGCGCAAGGCAGGAACCAGGCCCCTAGGGTTGACCTCAAGCAGGGATTGGGGCTTCTTGTAAGGGTCGACTTCGATATACTGGTACGGAATGCCCTTGAATTGCAGAGCGATCCACACGCGCTGGACAAATGGACTGCAGAAGATGGTCAGCAACTTCACCAGGCGAATTAGCGCGAACCGTCTCACCAAAAGCAACTACCAAACAGCTTCAGATCGTTGTCTTCAGAGTGATCGGCAACAGTCTTGGCCGCGAGCCCGGTAGCTTTGGTGTGGTACGACTTCTGTGGTTGGTTCTGGGTAGACATGGTTCGCGTCTGTAGGCGGCCGGCGTTAGAACGGAGATATGCTGATGTAGCGTTTGCAATTGCCGATTGAGTTCGGCACGTCAGGCTATTCCACAAACAAGGACTCGTCTGCCAGAAAGATCGAAGGAACATAACGCAAGATGGCAAAAATGATGGAGAAAGAAGAGAAGGGGAAGCGGGGAATTGCGTGCGGTGGTCAGGTTCAGCCCGCCGCACCAGTGACGTAACCCTCCCCCCCTCCATCAACACCACCGCCCACCGACAGTAGTAGAACATAGAGACAAATAAAAAGGCATCTCGAAACTTACCGAGACCGCCTTCTTCTTCTCTTGCCTCGCCTCCTTCAAGAGAAACCGCTGCACACTATTTTTCTTCACGCGATCACTCTCTTCCAGCGTATGCCGATGCCCCCCCGTAACCCCATCATTCTTCCCATTCCCCCCATTCCCATTCACCCTCTGGATAGTAAAGAACCGCTGCCCCTGCAATCCCGGATGCCCCTCGGGCAACAGCACATGCAGATTCGGCGTTAGCATCCCAAACGAATGATTATAATTGGACCCGGAGACTCCCTCCATCCGCTCAGCGGCACTATTGCTGCCAGTAGCAGCAGCAGAACCACCACCCCCTACCCCCACCGACAAACCCTCCCCTTCTTCCCCGTCCTCCCCCTCCCCCTCCCCCACCCGCCCATCACTCTCCCGCTCAACCGACCAAGGAAAATACTCCGTGATCTTGATCTTGACATCGCACAGATCCCGCTCGCGGGCCGTGCGCTTCCGCTTCTTCTTGTTGGGGTCGGTGGACTTGGGCGTGCCCGGCGGGCGGCCCTTGAGCCGGCAGTCCCAGTAGTGCGAGACGAGGGGCTTGCGCTTGTAGTGCTGCGTTGAGCGGTGGGAGTAGACGTTGTCGATGTGCGGGAAGTAAGTCAGGAATCTGCCCACCGTCCTTGGGGATTTAGTATGTAGAATCGCGCTCTTGTTAGATGCCCCGGGGATAGTGGGGGTGAATGGATAGGGAAAAACGCACTGTTGCTCACTAAGGACGATCATTTCATCGATGTTGAAGAGGCGCGTGCGCCAGAGGTCGAGGTCGGGAGGACTGAGGATGGTGCGGATGTCGAGGGGCAGGCATTGCGTGTGGAGTTGGGATTGTGGTTGGAGCTGTGTGTAGGTGGAGGTGGATGGTCCTGAAGAGGGGAGGGGATTGTCTGCTGGGACGAAGGGCTGGAGACGCTTGGTTTGCTGGTGGTGGTTCGGATGGAAGTTTGGGTTGGGAGAGGGGAATTGGTGGTGTTGTTGATGCGGTGGTTGTGATGCAGCTAGAGTGGATGCGTCTGCAGCGACAGAGGGGAGGGAGGGTGCTAGGTAGGTTGAATGTGAAGAGGAGTGGTGTAGATCACTGGACGAGATGCAGAGGGAATTGTCCATAATTATGAAGTAGCCAGCTCGTATGTTATCTTATACTGTATAGAAACAGTGGATTCGATCTAGATGGAAGGGCAGGCGAAGAACGCTGCTTTAATCGGGGCGGGGAGAAAAAGAGGCTGGGGTTTGAAGCGGCGGGCGGTGAGTGGAGCCTCCCGAGCATTTTCCCCCGCTTCTTTATTGGTGTCGATTCCGCCTTCTGTCTGACGAGTGGGGAAAAGCTTGAAGCTTCCGTCCAAGTTCCCGCCGTCACTTCAAGGTTTCATCACTCCGTATCTAGATCGAACTTAAGAAAAAAGGAACAAAATTCACCGAGTCACAGGACGACTCATCCGCAGCGCCGCAAAAAGCTCCACCTGCGCCTCCTGCACCCTAGCGAAGAGCTACCTACGCTATTCCGTGCAGCCCTAATCGAGAGAACATGAAGATGCCCCGCGCGAAGTCGGAGCTAAAGTCGCAGCAGATGAGCGTACGGTCTTCGATATCAATTCTCGCTCTCGCGGGGGGAGGTGGAAGGTCCGGGAATGGTCGGGACAGGGGCACGGTCTCCGTGCGGATCTGTCGGATGAGGTCGACCTGGGGCTGGAATGGGACCTCGGGGTAGAGGGAAGTGGGGGTAGAGGCTGACCATGAGGGTTGGTCTAGTAAGCGCTCGAAATTGTATTGCGTGATGGGGCGGATGTCACTATTTCCTTGGAGGTTTCACGTGTCCGTCCGCTGGGATTGCGGGCTGGATGACGAGGAGGCGTTGGAGGAGCTTGTCAAGCTGGATTCTTGTGCGCTGGTTGCAGACACGGAGTCGGTGGGCTGAGGGAGAAGAGGAGGTCATTGTAAGGGTCGTGGGTGATGGTTGACGAGCTTATGATGGATGTTAGAGAAAAACAGGAGGAAGAGGGCCAAAAGAAGGAAATGAAACATGTGAGATGTGAATTGACTGTTCTTGACCTCAACGGATCTACTACCCTGCCCTACGCAGTGGTAAAGCAAAGCAAGCAATTGTGTACCTGGGGTTGGCTATGCTTGCTACCATGGTTGAGTCATGTGGGGTCGAATACTTGCTATATGTCAGCGCAGCTGAGTAATCCGGCCACGTGATGCAACGCGTTGCTAAGTTGCTTCCCATGTTGATACGTTAGTTCCAACCACCAAGAGAATTAAGAACACGTTCTATACACCTCACCCCTGAGACTTAAAATTGCCGATAGGTTATGAGCCCGGAGCCTCTTTGAGGTTCTGGGACACGCGTCATTTATTTCCTTATTTGTCAAACTTGAAGCTTTTCATGATTGCCAAGTCCTTTTGTTGATAAAACACGTCATCGCCACCGCCAAGATGCCCGAAATCGCCAAGCCTCCGTGTATCCTCACCGGCTCGCAGAACTGGCACCTTTGGAGCCTCCGTATCGAAGCCCAACTC